CCCGCCTTCCAACCACACCCACACTTCCCCTCCTCCATCCCCTCCTCCCAGAAAACCACCCACCCAGACTGCCTCGTCCCCCTCCCGACCTCCCACCACGCAACCCAAATCACGCCAACCCAACAAATCGCCCTCTCCACCGGCATCGGCTTCCTCGACCACATGCTGCACGCCCTCTCCAAACACGCAGGCTGGTCCCTCGCGATCCGCGCCAGCGGCGACCTGTACATCGACGACCACCACACGTGCGAAGACGTCTTCCTCGCACTCGGCACCGCTTCAACACCGCCCTCGCGCCCGCGACAGCCTCGTGCGCTTCGGCCGCGGCGACGCCCCACTCGACGAAGCACTCTCGTGGGCCGTGATCGACCTCTCGAACCGGCCCTACAGCGTCATCAACCTCGGCTTCACGCGAGAGAAGATCGGGGATCTGAGCACGGAGATGATAACGCATGGGTTCGAGAGTTTTGCGCAGGCGGCGAGTGTGACGCTGCATGTGACTTGTGTGTATGGGAGTAATAATCATCATCGGGCGGAAAGCGCGTTCAAGGCGCTGGCGGTGGCGTGCAGGACGGCGTGTGAGAGGAGAGGGGTGGGGAGTGTAGGGTGGGGGGATGTTACGAGTACGAAGGGGGTGTTGGGGAGTAGTGTCAATGGTTGATTGGGCAAGCGAGCCTGCGGATCTCGAGACGAAGCCTCCTCGTGGTTGCAAAGGAAATCATGTAATCATACGACACTGCCGGGGATATCTCTGTTGTTGCTTCTATCCTGAATGATGCTCGTAATTGCTGTTGCGTGCCTTTGTCTGCTGAAGCACGCCCTGCCGACGGCGGAAGGTCCATCACGACGGCTTGGTGGCACCGTCTTGGTGGCCTCCAGGCACTTTCCTAAACGCGTCGACCAACAGTCAGCCAGCCCCAGCCAGGAAATCAAAAGGTCGTCGAACCGCCCAGAAACACCGAGTTGGCGCGGAAGATCGGCTGGTCATGCCCGTTCCTGATCGCTGACAGAATCCATAATGCTGGAGGCCTCTGTGCCGGCTTTGTGAGTGGCGCATGCACAATGCACGCGATCTCGGTATGCTCAACCCATCCCACCCCAGGCGCCGCGCAACCGCCTTGCCAGCTGAATGTCCTTCTGCATGATCGTGACCCTTTTCGCATGTATTGCACACAGATTCGTATCCTCAAACAGATGCACCAGAAACGCCTCGGTCGCCTCCTGCAAAGCCATGATCGCTTGGCTCTGCCACCGGAACTCTTGTGACCCCCTAGGTAAGATATCCTGTGCGACTTCGCGGACAAGGCGGGCAAAGGGAAGTTTGAGTAGTAAGAGGTCGGTCGATTGCTGGTATCGTCGAATCTCGCGCAATGCTATTGTGCCGGGTTTGAATCGATGAGGCTTGCGATTGGGAACGGGGTCACCGGCTGCAAATAGAGGAGAATTATTAGATCCGTGTTCTCGGTGGAGAAAACAACCGGAATCAAGGAACAGCAAAACGTACGTTGTGTCCGACCGGTGGACGTGCGCTTCCCTCCTGTGCTTTTCCTCCCTGTGCTAGCTCGTGCTTTTGAAGTGCCGGCAGCTGTACTCTTGCCGCCTGTAGATGCGCGGCCTTTGCCTTTGGGCGTGGCGCGCTTCTGCGCCATCGATGTTCGTGGGCGCAGACAGAAGCAGAGAGACAAAGAGCGCCAGGAATAGGGATAGAAAGGCGCAAAGTCGTCGACGAAGCGGAAAACTCGATTCCCCGTAGCACTTTAGGCACTGGTGAGGCGCGAATAGCAGTGGAGTGCGGTTCTGACGCGTGTTGCTGTTGCGCTGGCCGGTATTCGCGGCACAGGAAAACAAGGCGCGACAGACGCGTCGTGCGAGCTTCGAGTGCGTGGCTGGGATCGGCGTGGAGGGCCTTCCTGGGCTGATGGGAAGTGAGATCGTCAACGGCGAGCTCACAAGCGCGATTGGGGTCGTCGTAGGTGCAGAGGCAGGCCGTGTGTTGCTGAATATCCAAAATGGCCGCGGAACGGTGAGAAGTGTGTGGAAGCGCGTGTGCTGTTGTTTGCGACAGGAACACAAGAAGGTCGAAGCTCAGATCAACAATGACCAGATCGAGGACGAACCAATCAGCTTAGAAGACGGCAGGCGACGCCCAGACGCGGGCGCAGTTGCTCCCCCTCCGCCCTTGCATCAGACGCCTAGAAAATTGGAGAAGCCGCGGACAAACAGCCTGTACATTTGTCCTTTCTTGGGGGCCTTCACCACGCTCCAATTCGCCATCTTACCTGAGCATGTAACCCGGTCCAACGTGAAGCTCGTGGTCTCTCGCCATCCTCACACGCCGGGAGCACTCCACGATGGCCGACTTCCTCAACAACGGCCAACTCGGCCAACTCCCCATCGAACAATGGTTCTTCGAGACCCCTCCCTGCACCCGCTACTGGACCACCGCCACCGTCATAACCTCCATCCTCGTCCAGTGCAAGTTCATCAACCCCTTCCAGCTCTTCTACACCTTCAGAGCCGTGTACTACAAGTCACAGTACTGGCGTCTCCTCACCACCTTCGTCTACCTCGGCCCTCCCTCGCTCGACCTCGTCTTCCACGTCTTCTTCATGACCCGCTACTCGCGCCTACTCGAATCCTCCTCTTCCTCCACCGCCACCTTCTCCTGGCTGCTGCTTTACGCTACCACAGCCCTCCTTCTCCTCACATCCCTGCCCTGGATCTCCTACTTCCAGATCGGCTTCTTGGGCACCAGTCTGTCCTCCACACTGGTCTATATCTGGTCACGTCGTAATCCGGAAACACGGCTGAGCTTGATGGGTCTGATGGTCTTCACCGCGCCGTACCTACCCTGGGTACTGATGGGGTTCAGCCTCTTCATGCACGGGCAGATACCGAAAGATGAGATACTCGGGGTATGTGTTGGACATGTGTACTACTTCCTGGCAGACGTATGGCCGGGCATCTACCAAGGGTCACGACCGATGGATCCGCCGGCGTGGTGGATACGGCTATGGGACGGCCAACAGAGAGGAGCGGGCACTGGCGCTAGAGGCGTAGAGGGCGATGTCCAAGCGGCGGTTGCTGCTGCGGGAGGCGGAGGAATGAGACCTGGTTGAATGGTATCTTACGGTCTCACTGCGCTTCCGCGACGGTGAAATTAGGGAGAGTACACAGCTCCAAGTTCCTACCCGTAGCGGCTTCCTGAGGGCGGTCATGAAATAGAAAATCAAAGCAGACGACTGCGTTAAACTTTACACGCAATGGCAGAAGCAAAGACCACAGTATGACCGGAGCTGCACCAGCACACGTAATGGCGTCGTGCACATCTGGTATGGTCTGCTCTGTGCCCTGACGTGCTCAAATCGTTGAACCGTAAGAAGGCCTCTAAGCCAGCATCTGACGCTCGTTTGACCAATGCAAGTCATCCGGTCTCGTTCAATGCCCTCTTGATGCTTGGAAAATATATTTGCTATACCATCACTTGACATACGCTTTACCAACGACATACTCGACTAAGCTAATCGCTCACAATGCGTCTCTGCGCCACCAAGTCACATTGTCACCGTATAGCAATAATACCTGTGCGATGAAACGAGACCATTCAGCTCGAATACCAGATCCGTGATTGGAACACGTGCTTCCGTTTCTACCCTTTGGATGGAACAGCCCTCTACCACACTACAAACTTCCCGGCCAAAACCTCCCCCGATCCTTCGCATCCTTCTCCCAAGCCCAATTATGTGCAAACACCACCTCCACAGTCCCTTTCCCCTCCGTCGTCGCCTCCTTCCCGCCCTCTTGTTGCCCATCATTTGCCGGCGGTGGAAGCGCAAACCCCTCCTCATTCGCCACCCTCATCTTTCGCAATGTCTCCATCGTCGCCTTCCGATCCGCATGAATGCAGCATGCTCTGCCCTCAGTGTCCGTCCATGTCGCGATCTCGCGCTCGCCCGTGAAGAGGCGGATGTCGTGGCATGCATCGCCACCTAGGTAGATCCATCGTGGTGGGTCGTTGCTGTTGGCGGCGTCGTCGTCGTCGGAGGAGGAGGCGTCGACCCGGCAGAGAAGGTTGATGTGTCCCGGCAGATGGCCGGGGGCGTTGATGATGAAGCATTCTCGGGAGGAGGCGGATGGGAAGGGGATGGCGGCTGCGAAGGGTGGGAGGGGCTGCCATTGGTAGTCTGATGTCTCGGCGGCGCTGGATGTTGGTTCTGGGAGGGCGATGACGCGGTTTTGGTCTGTGGGGAGGAGGTCGGGTTCGAAGTGGCTGTGGGAGCCTATGTTGAGGGTGGTCTTGCCGGAGAGCTGTTTGGGGGTTTGGCTGTCTCAGTGTTTGGGTCGCTCAAATGGTTGCGAGGAAGCCTTCAGGGAATGTTTCGCCACAACTGCAGTACTCACTAGGTCAAGCGCTCCGGGACCGACGACGAATTTTGTCTTGAGATTGCTGAAGTCTGCTGGGTAGCCAACATGGTCGTAATGCACATGGCTCAGAATTACGTAGTCGATGTCGTCCGGACTCAAGCCGCCTTCCTTGAGCGATGCTACAACGTCGGGCTCGCCAGTGATTGGCTGCCGGCTGTCGATGTGCTTCTGTAGCACGTCTGGGTAGAGGCTCAAGTCCCGCCGGATGCCAAGATCGAAGACGATGCGTGTTGTCTTTTCTGGCGTGACGTGCTGGATGAGGAAGCTGAGCGAGGGAACTGTGAACTTGATGCCTGGATCGGCTGGGTCGACAAAGAACTTCTCGGGAATCGTGAGACTGCCAGCGTTCAGAGCGTGGACGGAGACTTTTGCCATTGTTCGGTAGGGATAAGGAAGAGACCTGCTCGGCCTGGAAGAGTTCATGTACCTATGTTGTATGACGCTCCTTTCGCGTGCGGAGTGCCCACCCGTCTCTTTGCGGGGAAAGAGGGGATGTTGGTAGATTAATGACTTGACTCCAACTGAGTTGGGGGTGACCTCCAGCATGGTGGGATGCAGAAAACCAGTCAAGTCGTACAGAGTTCTTTTGATACTCATGTCTATGTTTCACACATCTCCTGGGAGGACTTCGCGACCACAGCGTCTGGTGCTGCGTGAAGATCCGGAGATCTGTGGCCAAGCACTAGCTGGGTTTTGAACTGTTGGCATGCCGTCGACGCACGCTGGCCGGGACGAATTGCAACGCAGACAGGCTGTCGACCAATTCATCCATCGGTTCTGCTGTCTTCTGGTCGCTTTGTGAAGAATTTGCACTCATGGAGCCGATTGCTCGACTAGCCTTCCCATGACACACTGGCTGCGAGCCGTAGTTGCCGTCGCCGACAGGGGCCTGACTATTGCTCAAGCGTCTGTGCCTCGAGATCGCGTCGTGAGGTGTGGTCGCGGTTGAGACGCGTCTCCTATGGGATGTGCCCTGCAGCATCGATGTGCGCTTGTCAATACCAAACTCGACTACGCGGAAATTGTATGACTTTGGAAAACAGTGCTTGTCGACAAGATGCATGCGTCGTTTCTGGGGCGTCGCACACACTTTCTCGCAGTCTTCAACGAAGCACACGTAGGTCTTCTCACCCTGGCTTTCTAGCTCGGCCCGTAGCGGGTTATGCAATTCATCGATGTGCAAGTCGAGGAAATGATCTGTAGGGAAGTTCCTGTCGCATGATGAGCATCGATGGGAGTGCTCTTTGTGATAATGAAGTTCAAATGCAGCGATTGAATCGAAACTCAAGGCTTTGGTATGAGGCGGAAGCGAGCACTGCATGGCCATTGTGCCGGTAGAGTCCTCCCCGGTGACATCTACTGCACTGACCTTACCACTGCGTTTGTCAGTCCTATCTGAGTCTTCATCGGCTGATGGAGAGTCTGGCGAAGGAGAGAACGAGACATCTCGCGATCGTTTGTTAGACATTGCGGCATTGACGAAGGCGGTGTGGCTCAACGATGTCCACAGCTGTTCCTGCCTATTTGTCGCTCCGAGCTATTTGAAGCTCGGGCGGACGCTTGGCACCAAGAACGAACTGTCGTGGAATCTGGACTTTCCTTTGGAAGCTCTCGACGCTCTACAAGTACCTGTACCTAAAATACGCAGTCAACCGTACATACTTAGTATTTCATGCAAAGGACTCCCTGGCACAGCGGATTCATTCATCGATCCAATATACCCAAAAATTTGCTGCACCCCTGTCAATCGTTGCTCTATGGATCGCGATGTTGCTCCAATCGCAAGATCAACTCCACGGGCGGATGTCATGCATGCTTCCAACGTCACCACTTTGACTTTTTCCTGTTCACAGCACCAGAGCCCGCCCCGTCGAGTAGCATAGCAACAGACGGCACATGCTCTGCTCAGTGGAGCGTATGCCAACGGCCTGCAATGCTGCTGGTATACTTGAGGCTTACCAGCATGTGAGGCGGTGCAAATTCTCATTTTCAGTTCTGACCTTGAAATCTCGAGCTTCAGATTCAACAGTAAGTACCAGCCATGTATTGCTGACACCTACCATCTGCCACTCTGCCGCCTATTGCTCGATACCCTAAGTGCCTGTGTGAACCACTTGCCTTTCTCGAGCCCCTCATCCTTGAGCGATACTGGGCTCAGCTCCATACCGCCCAACATGGCGCCTTCCCTACTTGACAAGCAGTCCCAAGTGGTCTTCTTCTCAGCCACGGCTATAGCACTATATGGCTACGACCAGGGGATGATGTCCCTCATAAACACCAACAACGACTATCTCTCGACCATGGGCATCGCCGAGGAAGATCCACTCGTTGGTGTGATCGTTGCCGTCTACTATCTTGGATGCACCGTTGGCGCCATCCTTGCTTCCTGGCTCTCCAACACGCACGGCCGGAAACTTTCAATTATTGTCTGCCTCACCACCGCTAGCATCGGCAACCTCATCATGTTCCTCGCCGGCTACAACGGCATGTCTGGCGCGATATACGTCATGCTCATCGGACGCATCGTCATGGGATTAGGCGTAGGAGGCATCGATGCGTCGTGCCCGTCTACAGCTCCGAGCTCTCCGAAGACGACGCTCGCGGCACGGCCCTAGCACAAGAATTCCAAGCCAACATCTTCGGCCTAAACATGGCCTTCATCGTGAACCTCGCCTTGACCCACAACTTAGGCAAATTCAACCAGTGGGCCTGGCGCAGCCCGATCATCATCATGCAAGTCTTTCCCGCAGTCATGATGGCGGTGGCAGGCCTCCTTCCCGAAACACCTCGTTGGTACGTTCTACACGAAAAGCCCGAGAAGGCAGAGAAATCCATTGCGAAAGTCTGGGGCCAAGACGCCGTGGACGAGCGCATCAAGTCCTTGAAAGAAGCCCACGAGAAGGAACTCGAGGACGGCTCCGGCAAACTCACCTACGCCGATCTGTGCCTGCCCGGCCGCGACCAGTTCCACCCCACGGTCATCACCGTCATGGGCCAAGTCAACCAGGCCCTGACGGGCTACGGAGCTGTGAGCGTCTACGGCCCACAGATCTTCGAACTCCTCGGCTTCCAAGTCACTGACGCCGAGTACCTGACCATGGGCAACTACCTCTTCTATTTCGGCATGATGACTCTGGCTTGGATCTTGATCGACCGCAAAGGCCGTCGCTGGCTGCTCGTGTCGGGCTCATTCTGGCTAGCAGTTTCATTCGCTCTGCTGACCCTGCTCGGCGGCCTGGCCTCCAATCGCGGTAGTCTCGGCATTCCGCTCCTGGCGACCGGCGTGCCCGGCATCATAACGCTCTACCTCGCTACGGCAGCTTTCGGCATCTGCTGGCTCACTCCGCCCTTCCTCATTCCCACCGAAATCTACCCATCATCTTGCCGCGCACAAGGCTCAGCTATCTCGGTGATCATCTGGGGACTCGCGAACTTCACGATCACGCTCCTGACACCCATCGGCTTCAACAACCTCGAGTACTGGCTCTTCGCGGCGTTCGCAGTCACGAATGGCTTTGCGGGCGTGTGGACGTGGGCGTATATTCCGGAGAGCGGACATCGGTCGTTCGAGGAGAATCAGAAGTTCTTTGAAGAGGCGGAGAAGGAGGGGAGCTGGCGCGTGGGGCGTGTCAAGGGAGGCGAGTGGAGGAATTTGCCGAATGGGGGTGGTGGGGAAGGTGATGAGGAGGAGCAGGATGGTGGAGGGGCAAGGAAGAAGAATGGCAACGGTGGAGATGAGAGGAGACACTGCTGGGGAGGAGGGACAGCGATTGATCGGGGCTCTGGTGGGAAGGCACGACGTTGTAGTGCTTTGCTAATTGCTTGGAGTTGTGGTGCAAGCGATGTCTCCGCTGGAAGCATGGAATCTAAGCTATGGGATCACGTAGTACCATGCATAGTGAACTTGGTTCCTTGATCCAGAACACCCGTAGCAAAACCTCCTCAGGGAGGACGCTGCAGGTATGATTGATCTTCCTGCTCGAGTCGGCGATGCCGCAATGACCGTCACTTGAGTGTCACTTGAGCGTCATCGAGTAAGAAATTGGTAGGTAAGATTCATCGTGGATTTCATCGACAGGGAGGACGCTGTGGGCATGAGTTCGTCTCGCCGATCACTGGAGGCTAAAGGGGAAAAGTCGATATCCTGGTGACCGATCCGGCTGCTGAAGGTCTTGGCGCCAGGAGGAACCGCGTCAACCCGGTCAGGGCGGGCTCTGAGTGCTAAGACTGTTCTGCAGATCGACCTAGAAGGCCGGGAAGAGCCCCATCCGAGCGTCAAGTCGCAGGATCAATCGACTATCAGGGAACTCGCTGTTGGAAATTCATGGCGTGTAGGTCAGCATTGGAGCAAACGCTCATTTCTTGGCTGAATAGCTTGACAATCGTTCCTTCCAGATGTTACCACCTTCCACGGCACGGGTAAGCTCGCAGAAAGCAAGAGCACCTCGCTTTCGTGCCAGCTACTGCTCTCTGGCTCTCCGCATTCACGTGTACTGGATGTAAATCGTCGAGGAGGCATGCTGAGTCAAGAGAAGGTTGAGGCAAACCATGACCTATTTCCTGATCCGGCAACGATGGCTTTTACTCGAGTAGCCTCGTCGCGGACGCGTGCCAGCCCATCACTTGATACCGCTGGAGGAGTCATGCACAATGCACAGTGACTGAGCACCGCGATGTGAGCGAAGTCAATGTCGACGCAAGTGAAGTACCCGCCCGTGCTCATGACCGAACTACATAAGGCAAGTACGCTCATGAGCACGCCTTCCTCCCGCCTCTCCTCATAACCATCAAACAAAGTCTTGCCTGCCTAGTACATATTGAACAATTTGCACCACACGCTCATCCCCAAACTCTCACCAACTCCCAGCGAGAATGCCAATCACCTACACAGCCTTCAAAGGCTCCCCCTCCGGCACAATCCAAGAGGAGACCGTCTGCCACCGCGACCTCCAGCACGATGAAGTCCTCGTCCGCATAACGCACAGCGGCGTCTGCGGCACGGACGAACACACGCGCCACACCCACCGGACGCTTGGCCACGAAGGCGTCGGCGTCATCGAGAAGGTCGGCAGTGAGGTAGTAGGATTTGCGCCGTAAGCTATTCTCCTTCAGTCGGCTTTCGTCCACTCGAACTCGAATTCTGGGCGCATTCATGTACGTGTGCTAACGAACCACCCACCCCAGAAACGACAGAGTTGGCATCGGCTACGTGCGAGGTGGCTGCGGAGCCTGCAAAGAATGCCGCCTAGGCTACAACTTCTACTGCGTCACCAAACCGAACAACTACGGCTTCGACAAAGGCGACGAGGACGTTGCGACGTGGGCTTCCCACGCCGTCCTCCCCACAATCCGTCTCGCCAAGATCCCCGATGCAATCCCCTCCGAGTATGCGGGCCCGCTGATGTGTGCGGGTCAGACTGTCTGGCTGCCGTTTGCGCGAACCGACATCCGACCCTGGCATACGGTTGGGATTTTGGGGATTGGTGGTCTGGGGCACTTGGCCATCCAGTTCGCTAGTAAGATGGGATGTAATGTCGTGGTATTTTCTGGGTCGGAGAGCAAGCGGGCGGAGGCCAAGAAGCTAGGTGCGAATAAATTCTACACAGCAGAGGATCTCGAGAAGGAGGATATGCCAAAGGGTTTCGTTGATCATCTGCTGGTGACGACGAGCCAGATGCCGGATTGGAAAGTGTAAGTTCTGCATCCTGCTCAGGCGGGCTCTATGTGGGCGGGTGGCTGAAGACGAGCACAGGTACCACTCGGTCTTGGCTAACCGCGCCTACATCTATCCTCTGACCATCTCAACCGACGACTTCAAGATGAATCAGTTCTCCATGATCCAGAAAGAGATCACCGTTCGAGTGCTGTGTGCTTCGACCATCGTACAGGTCAACGAGATGCTGGGGTTTGCGGCTCGACACGAGATCAGACCTATCATTGAGGAGTTTCCGATGACACTGGAGGGTATCAATGAGGCGATGGGCAAATTGGCGGCTGGGAAGATGCGGTATCGGGGCGTGCTGAAGGTTTGAGTATCGCAAGACAGATGTGCGCCGTCTTCGCCGGCTATCATTATCTGACCAAGCGGTGAAACAGATATATCCAGCTCAACGGTGATGTCAGTCCTTTCGGAGTCCCCCGTGGCCCAGTTCTATACTGAATCATTCGTCCTGACTGGTGCACAAGTGAGGCTCATCCGAATCTTACCAGTCGGACCAGGGTCCCTTCACTGCCCAGCCAAGTGAATGTGAATGACTGAATCTGAATCATGCATCAAGCGGTGACTACTCCCCCATCGAGTCAGTGAAATGACGTCTGCCTCCAGTCTTCACTTTGGTTAAGGATCATAAATAGGCGGCGCCCCCACCACTCTCCTCTCTTCTTTTCCTCACGAGTGGCCCAGTCGCAGTCAGCTCTAGCTTGCCATTGCCATGCCTTGGTAACGCTTTGCGCTACCTGGCGGGGCGAGATGCTGCCCTCACAAAACACCAAAGAAATTGGCTGCCACCCGCTAGGTCCAGGGGTCAAGCTGTGACGAGAAGTCGTGAGCGTTGTCTGCAACTCATGACCTCCGGCAGCTCGCGGCCCTGGACAGCGCCCTCCCTGGCTTGAAAATCCGTGACGAGTCTGTACAACAACCTGACGCTCAAGTGAGGCTGGTTCAAGACTGCCCACTGTACTGGCGATGGAGTTTCTGGCCTTCAGAGCCCGCCCTGGCTTGGGAAAAAATCCAAGTTCCCAAGGTGCTAACGACGCAGTCATAGCCCGGGGGGGTGGAGCGAGCTCCTTCACTGCCGGTTGAAGTAAATGACCGAACTTTAATCATGTAGGAAAGAGTGAATAGTCCTCGACCGAGTCAGTATGGCGCCTGCCTGCTGTCTTCACTTCGCTGGAAGGCTTATAAGTAGTCGCCTTGCCCCCCGACTTCAACTCTTCTTCTTTCCTCACGGCTTTGGTCTCTTTTTTCCGCTCTCATTGCCATGCCGTGGTAACACTCGATGCTGCCTGGCGGGGCGAGATGCTGCTTTCCAAGGATCTCATCCGCAAGGATGCTCAGCGTGAGAAGGTGCAGCTTCTTGACCCACGCGCTGCCCTCAGCTACGTATGTAGCTGGACCCCTTCGATGTATCCGTTGGAAGGCTCCCCGAAGCGACGATCGATCATCAGGTCGCGCCAGTAGTCAATGATGCCCATCATCACTTGCTATTCAGATTGCCTTCTAGTCGCTATGGTAGGAGTCGCTCCGCTAGGTGCTAGTAAGACACCCCCTCCCTCGACATTCGACCTCACCATGGTCCGTAGCGGATTTCCTGGCCACGAAGGTCGCTGAAGCCCTGATGCAAGTTCATTGGCAGAGTTGGCTCTTTTGCATGGAGCCTCACTTGGGCGTCAGATTGTGGTGCAGACTTATCACGGATTTCCAGGCCAGGGAGGGCGTTGAAGGCCTCTCACTCTTTCGCTGACCAAGTCGATGGGTTGCGATAAGCCTCGCTTGAGCGTCAAGACGCTGGGAAGATTATATCGGGAAATTTCTAGCCAGGGAGGGCGCTGTAGAAATCCTCACAAATCATCATCTTCGCTTCCATCCCCTCCGCCACGCTTCCGCTTCCCAGAAGTCATGTTTCCACCACGACCGCCAACCTGCTCCTGATGTTCCCGCAACTCCAGCACATAAGTCCGCGCATCTCTGTCCTCGCCATGCCACCTGCCCTTCTTGCCCTTTCCATTCTTCGTGCTAGGTCGATGGTTCTCGTTGTCCGCGGTGGGCTCCTCTCCTCCACTACGTCCACCGCGCCGCCCGTCCACGCCTTTCGGCACAATCTCCCCCAGCGTCCTGGCATGCGCATAGCCCGGATAAGCGCTCCACGGAAAGCGGAATGACTCGACGATGTTGTAGCCCGTGTGCCGGGCGAGGTCGCGGATGTTCCAGAGAGTGTAGGGATGACCCTCGAATATGGTGATGAGAACTTGTGGGATGCGTGAAGTGTCCCTAGCCGCAGGGTCCTCCTTGGACGTGGAGGCAGAGCTGGAGTCTGAGTCTGAGTCGGACGGCGTGGAGTAGCGCTCGGCGCTTTTGTCTTGACCGCTGTGGTTGCCACCTCCATTGTTGTGGACCTTGCCATGCGCACCCCTTGACCGCCGGCTCGCTCCATTCGTCGTCTGATCAATCTCCAACGGAACAAGGAGCGCCTTGCAGCCCTCCAAGAACTTGACAAGCAGCTCCTGATTCGCACGGACTTGTCGGTTGACATCCGTAGAGAGGCCACCGACGTGTGGAAAGTTGAAGACTATTTTGGTGAAGGATGTAAATGACGGGGCCCACCTCGTTGCTGGTGGCAGAAGAGGCTTTTGCGGTGGCGGGGAAGTTGAGTGGCGTCTATGCTGTAGAGTACGCGGGAACGAGTTTGCGAGAATGAAGGGAGCTGGTGGTGTGATGATGGGTTTGGCTGTGGTGGGAGCGAAATGGGCGGATTTGATGACGGTCGTGCCGTTGTTGGAGGCGGCGAGAAGCCTTCAAATACCACCTCCCTCTCTTCAGAGACATCGCCTTCATTGTTGGTCGCTTCGGAATCGTCCACCTTCGCCGCCTTAGTATCCAGCTGCTCAATCGTTGTCATCACTCTGGGGTACTTCTCCACCAACTGCCTCTGAGAATCGTAACATGTTGCCGTCACAGCCAACAGCCTGTGGTGCTTAATCAGCGACAAGGCGAAGGAGAAATCGCCCTCACCAATCAGCAGTATCCGGTCATGGCTGGAAAACGGGACACGCGACTGGCCTGTGCTGCTGTTATGCACGCGATCATTCTTCTTGCTCGTCTTGGCTGGTGGACCATGACCCGTCGACGCTGATGTCTGTGATTTGGAGCGGGCGGCTTGGCTGTGTTGGCGGCGAGCTGCTTTGGTCTTGATATGTGCGATGTTAGGCCTCAGTCGCTTCGCTGGTGCTTTGCCCATCGAGTTCAACGAGTGTGTAGTACGAAAAGAAAACGTCAATCGTTGTGGGGATTTGTGGCGGCGGAATTGGAGTTTTGGGGGAGGAGCGGGCCCTAAAAGGAATGCTTCTGTAAGACTACCGTACAGTACAGGTTCTAGTCAGCCCTTCTCCCTTGTGGGTGCAAGCTCACTACACCTTCTGACCTCCCACACCTTGCTCGACCAAACCAATCGTTCCGCCCACCCTTCGGCTACTCGTCTGCTAAGACACCTCCTGCACTCCGCACCCTCCTTCTCTAGTAGGAGCGCCTGCGGCGCGACCAGGAAATTGCTCGCTGCGCTCGCCTGAGGTGGTGG